GCCATGCAAAGTCGTCTTTAAAAAGACGCACCCGAAATTGCTCTTTTAGGGAAAAAGCTCTTTTAGCGTGCTGAGGCGCACAGGGGAGATGATCATCTGCAACACAAACAGGGGGTAGTGCAGCCTGATGTGTGCAACCCACTCGACACAGGAAACCACCACCGCTGAAGCGCCGTACCGCCAACACGAAGAGCTCTCCAAGAGCGCGCTGAACTCGTTCAGTCTTCAGCTCTCAGTAGAGTAGTCAGGAGCAGAACGATGTGATCGCTCGGCTCCGAAGCGAAAAGCTGAATATGTGCTGCATCTGCTGGATGCAATAATCGCATGCCAATGTGCATTGGCTCATTTAGTTTACACTCGAAGTAGATTGGTCTCTCTAAGCGAGATCCCAATTCGTCGGTCATCCGACGTGATGACTGAAAGGGAACTGAAAATTTTGTCTCATGACATCTCTTTCTGCAGGGCAATAACTCATAAGCGAATCATACAACATGCGTGTTGGAAACATTACTGCACTATGTACAATATGCACATGCACTCATTGACCCTTCAAAACAGTGAATGTCACATGCGAGTGCATTCAGACACACCTGTTTACACGCCTGATTCACATATGATCTCATAGTCATGAAGCTTCCTGAATTATGAAGACAACGAGTTGAAATCTGATCTGACCATACAGACTACAACATATTTCCAAAAATCTGATTTTAATCTGATCTCAAACCATGTAAAGATGCGGCTTGGATCAGATTTATCTGCATTTTGGACAATATAGTTCCACTGTATTCTTTGAAGAACCTTGAAGTATACCATGGTAATCATTCAGTAACACCCAATAAAATGGTAATGCCACAGTACTTTTCTGTGTGAATGGTTATATATGGAAGCCCGTTTCCAAAAGTTAGAACTGCAATATATAAACTCAGACTTTTTTCTTGCAATTCCAAGTTTACATCTCACAATTCTGTTTTTTTTCCCGCCACAGAATAAAAAATAAAAAAGGTAATTGTGACTTTTTATCTCAAATTATTTACTTATTTTCTCAGAATTGCGCGTTTTTATCTCATATTTCTGACTTTTCTTCTCAGAATTGCGAGTTTATGTCTCGCAATTGCAAGTTAAGATCTCACAATTCTCGCAATTCTCAGAACTGCGAGAAAAAGAGACTGAATTGTGAGATAAAAAGTTGCCTAGTTATTTTTTTAATCCTGTGGTGGAAACATGCTCCCATAGTTATAAGCTCATATCCAGCTTGGCACAACTGAATACAGGTCCAGAGCTGTAGTGGCCAGAGGCTACTGTCAGTATGTGCCACTGAGAGACTGCCTGTGTGTACATGTTGGAGTGTGTGCATGCGTGAGAGTATATGCTGCAGAGAAGTACAGGGTGGAGGGGTGACAGACTGTCTATCTGTCAGTCACAGAGCAGTTGCTTGTCAATCTGGCACCCTCATCTCCTGCCATCATATCCCTGCCTGACCGTGAACACACTCCCACCTGTCTTTCTCTGCTTCTTAAATCACACACCTGCCACAGCATGAAAGTAAAGAGGCTGTACAGTAGTGTCAGCTCTGCAAGTGTGCTAAAATCCATAAATGACTATTAACATAAAGGATATGACTGTATATATAAACTATGAACATAGTCTTTCTATATATACTGAAAGCTCCCATCCCCCCCATTTCTCACACATAATTTCTTGTCTTGTCTTTATGACAAAAAGCCTATGGCACAAAACATGGGTTGAAACACACATGGAGGTGAGCAGATGTGATTATCTACCTTTTCTCCGTTAGCATTGCCGAGCACATAGCAGCCCATAATATGGATGAGGTTGGGCTCAGGATTTAATAAACTCATGAATCTGCCGAGTCTCTTCCAGAACCTGCAAACAAAAGCTCAGAATGATTACAAAGTAGGGCTACACAGTTCTTTATATTGTAATCACAATTCATTTCATTTAATCGAACTGAAATATATTAAAAAAAAATTGTGCAGGGAAGCGAATGCCATCTTTTGGTAGTCTACACATCCAAAATGATCTGAGCTGTGATCTTGAATTATTTATTTCTGTTTTATTCATTAGTAAATGAAAAGTGTCTTAACAGTGTCCTCTCTGCAGCATGAAAAACAAAAACATTATTCAAATTCTGAATAAATTATATATAAGACCACGAAAATACTAGAACATACTCATATTAATCACTGAAGCTGTCACTGCACGTGTATATATAGCTTCGCACAACTATTCGAGCCATGCAGTTCAACATAAGCTCATTGACTTGAGTCCTTCACCATTATAGTCAATGAATCTGTCTACACTACAAAGTAAATCCCTTATTTACACCATGTATTGTGGATTGTTGATAATCATGTGAACATTCTAGTTGTGTTGCATGTTGTTAGAAGCACAATTTGAAGCAACAGGAGTATCTAAAAGGCAATTAAAAAGTGTTAAAAAGGTGACAAAGATCTGACTCCCCTGAGGAGGTGGGGGGGGGGGGGTTCTCATTACAAATCTGGAAAGATGGTTGAGTGTACCAAAGTCACAGCACTTTCAGAGATGGAGGTTGTGTGGAGCAGCATTTACTGCGACCCAAATAAAAGCTTGTGTGTAAAAAAAAAATAATAATTACCGGATCTACAACTCGCACAAATGACCTATTTTGGATTCAAAAGGCGATTTTCACCGAAAGGTAACAAGTTTGCATCCATGAATTAATTGCAGGAGCCACCATCATATTCTCACATTTTTTTTATGAATTGTGCAGCACAATTTCAAACAGAACAAAAAGAAGCAGATATGAGAGGCTGCACCTTGTTTTGTGAAGGTGAATACTCACTGTATCATGCCCTCCTCCTTCTCTACTTTAGCAAATGTGGCCACTTTGTTCTTCAGTAGGTAGAGATGACCTGGACCTCCCTAGAGAATACAGAGAGCCAATTTGCACACTGCAAAATAACATGTGCATAACTACTCCACATGCAGACTTGTGAAAAAGCAGGATATGCAAATAATCACACACATATTTTTTTTTCAAACCTGACAAAAGATGAGCATGTTCCAGATTTTGCAGCCTTTTCTGTAGGCAGTGAGTTTCTTTTCAATCTCTTCTGAAGAGCAGAGAGTTGAGAGAAGACAGATAGCAGAGAAGTAGAGAGAGAAGAACCAGCAAGGGAATCATATGAAATTACAGTCCAGCTTTTTCATAGTAAACAAACAGCAGGAGCAAACATCAGGTTTGGCCAATTAACACATACCTAGTATATCATAGTGAAAAAAAAGGAGACACGTGGTCCTCCCCCGGGGGGGGGGGGGGGGGGGGGGGGTTCTCATTACAAATCTGGAAAGATGGTTGAGTGTACCAAAGTCACAGCACTTTCAGAGATGGAGGTTGTGTGGAGCAGCATTTACTGCGACCCAAATAAAAGCTTGTGTGTAAAAAAAAAATAATAATTACCGGATCTACAACTCGCACAAATGACCTATTTTGGATTCAAAAGGCGATTTTCACCGAAAGGTAACAAGTTTGCATCCATGAATTAATTGCAGGAGCCACCATCATATTCTCACATTTTTTTTATGAATTGTGCAGCACAATTTCAAACAGAACAAAAAGAAGCAGATATGAGAGGCTGCACCTTGTTTTGTGAAGGTGAATACTCACTGTATCATGCCCTCCTCCTTCTCTACTTTAGCAAATGTGGCCACTTTGTTCTTCAGTAGGTAGAGATGACCTGGACCTCCCTAGAGAATACAGAGAGCCAATTTGCACACTGCAAAATAACATGTGCATAACTACTCCACATGCAGACTTGTGAAAAAGCAGGATATGCAAATAATCACACACATATTTTTTTTTCAAACCTGACAAAAGATGAGCATGTTCCAGATTTTGCAGCCTTTTCTGTAGGCAGTGAGTTTCTTTTCAATCTCTTCTGAAGAGCAGAGAGTTGAGAGAAGACAGATAGCAGAGAAGTAGAGAGAGAAGAACCAGCAAGGGAATCATATGAAATTACAGTCCAGCTTTTTCATAGTAAACAAACAGCAGGAGCAAACATCAGGTTTGGCCAATTAACACATACCTAGTATATCATCAAAGGTGGCATGTTCATGATCCTGCGGGCAGAAAACAGGGCAAGCATGAACAACTGCATTCAAAAAGCTGCATATTCTGTGACAGGAATCATCAGTTGGAAAATATTACGTGGCGTTTTTATTTGAAGATAATTCAAGCATAATATAAGCACTACATCACTAGCTCAGCATTACAAAGCAGCAATTTCAAACAATGATGATTTACACTACTAAAACTTGCATGCGAGAGCTGACTGGTAGACATCATTAGCTGTGCTTAACACAAGGGTCTTTATACTGGATAATCAAATATTTGATTCTCTTTGATCCCATGTATGACTGCATCATTAAATGATACTCACATAGAGAATGGGGATTATGGAGGGGTCGTCCCGACGGATGATGTTGGGAACGTACTCGGCCTTTGGTACTTTTGATGAAATGAGCTGTTCAAAAACAAGGATGAGTAAAACACTCTTATTAATGAGCCCATTGATGATCAAACAGCTGCGCAACATGTAATGAGGATCTGATGTTGAGTTCATAAAAAGGCAGTTGGCTCGTGTAAAAATGATTGAAAGACGCATCTACCATGATTTTGGGTGGGATGAAGTCGTCGCCCTCACAGGCTGCTCTTTCCAACTCTCTCTCTTCCTCCCAGTCGACATCATCACAGTCTTCTTCATCCAGATTGCCAGACGATGCCTGGAGGTCTGCACCTGGGGAAGAGGGTATATGCAAATACACAGAAACACAACACAAGCACATAAACAACCAGTGAGATGACAGGTCCTTTCAACAAGCATTCTGTCGTTCATGTCCTAACATAACCTCTCCCACTTGTTTGTGAGAACATAACACATTTAGTAATATAGGACACAAAGCGAAAGCACACATATAGACAGCAGAGTACATTCAAGGTAAACAGTAAGACATTTTACAGATATGCACAGATGCTGATGTGTGTATGTGTATGAATCTTATGAAGCCTCAAAAGAAAATATTATTTTAGGATTTTCTTCAAACTTTTTTTTTTATTATTAAAGTGAAGGATATTAAATTGTCATTATAAAAAAAATCTAATTGTAATTACTGTAAATGTAATAAATAAACACATCCATCCATACATACATGCACTGCAAAGGTTTGTTGTTTTATTCAGCAAAAATAAATTTAATTGATTAAAAATGACAGTAAAGACAATGTTACAAAAGATTTTTTACTTCAGATAAATGCTGTTTTTTTCACTTTCTATTCATAAAAGAATCCAGAAAAATCACAGTTTCCACAAAATATTAATATTTTCAACATTAATAATAATAAGAAATGTTTCTTGAGCACCAAATCAGCATATTAGAATGATTTAAAGGAACACGTGACAAAGAAGACTCGAGTAATGGCTGCTGAAAATTCAGCTTTGTCATGGGAATAAAGTACATTTTAAAATATATTCAAATAGTAAACCGTTACATTAAATTGTAATAATATTTCACAATACTAGTGTTTTTACTGTGTTTTGATTCAAATAAATGCAGCATTGGTGAGCAGTAGCATTAGTTTAAATTAATTAAGGCCTTAAGGCCACATGGATGTGTGTGAGTGTTTTGTGTGAGTGTTTTGTGTGAGTGACCAATCACGTGCATGTACTGAAATCAGAAAAAGAGACGACATGACTGTGTATGTGTGTGGACTCACTGTCTCTGGAGTCATGGAGAGAGTCAGGCTTGATGGGTGTGGGGTCACTCCAGGACCTGCTGAAACTCTTTGCTTTGCGATCAGCAAATGCTAATAACGAAGCGGAGGAGGAAAGCATCAGACACACTGCTCTTCAACACATACACACACTATGGGCCCTTGTCTGAGGTTGGGATGTGGCACGTTTGACTATAGTAAACCGTTACATTAAATTGTAATAATATTTCACAATACTAGTGTTTTTACTGTGTTTTGATTCAAATAAATGCAGCATTGGTGAGCAGTAGCATTAGTTTAAATTAAGGCCTAGACATGGATGTGTGTGAGTGTTTTGTGTGAGTGTTTTGTGTGAGTGACCAATCACGTGCATGTACTGAAATCAGAAAAAGAGACGACATGACTGTGTATGTGTGTGGACTCACTGTCTCTGGAGTCATGGAGAGAGTCAGGCTTGATGGGTGTGGGGTCACTCCAGGACCTGCTGAAACTCTTTGCTTTGCGATCAGCAAATGCTAATAACGAAGCGGAGGAGGAAAGCATCAGACACACTGCTCTTCAACACATACACACACTATGGGCCCTTGTCTGAGGTTGGGATGTGGCACGTTTGACTGACTAGCTCTAAAAATGAGACTCATTTTGACTCTGTATACTGTAACTCTTATTGATGAGGAGGAATTATTAAGAAACTAAATCACATTGCTAGCTGTATATCAGTGAAGAGCACCAAATGGTTTTGTTTTCATCCTTTTTACCAGATGCTTGAAGCATCTGTAACCCCTGAAAATAATTAATCTGATACCATGAATCATTGTTAAGCAATGGCATGTTTGCATATTTACATTTACAAAAATTGCACAAATATACAGATGAAATCAGACAAACGTATTGAGAACATACACACAACCACACATAAGCATTAACACACTCATTCACTCGCTCACGCAGACACACACAGACATCTACAAACAACTCACTCTGGGCCTTCACCCTCCTGCTGCCCACCATCCTCAGATGTTTCCGGAAGTTTCTGGGATATAAAAGGATTCGCAGAAGCACAGTGGATTGGAAAGAGGTATAAGACAACAAGGGCAAAACGCAAGGAAAAAATGGGAGATGGCGGGAGGAGACAAAAATGGAAATGTTAAATACACTTTCAAACAATCCATTTATACATGGTAGCACTAGCATGGCTGATTATGGATGAGTGTTTGAAGTTATACAACAATCTCAGTGCACTCCAGACAAATCTCCAGTTCTCACAGTTCCTCTGTAATAAACAGGCATAAATATTGTCCCACTTTGACATTGCTTCTCGCAATTACATCTCTTCTCTGATGAAATTTTCCCTGGCGTGAGGGAGGGACAATAATTTCTTCCACTCAGATGAGATCACAACAACTAGCAAACCACAACAGTCCAACGAACCAATCAATTATTGATGGACAAAATCAAGTCCTGGCCTACATTACGGCTTGCTCGACTAATATACATCATATCCGCTTCATGCTGATTTTAAATTAACATAACAGAAAACTTTTACAGCTACAGAAATAAATAGTGTTTTTGAATATGTTTACTTAGTTTTGAATGAAGAATAAACAGGAAAAAGGACTCCTGTTTATTGTACATAAGATAGCTCGGCACTTCATAAATGCCGCCATTTAGAGAGCACATTATCTTTCAAATACTACTCTATACTCTTAAAAAAACAGGGTAAATAAGTCATTTCTGCAACTTGCACTGGTAACCAAAAACTGTTTATTTAGTGTGATATTATATCTACGCAGATGGGTGTCATTATAAACCCTCTAGTGGCCAGAGAAACAGAGAAAAAGACTATGAACCCTAAATTTTGCTTATAGGTAGGCGTTAAAGCATAGCTAAAGCATAGTTATCCCAGTAAAAACTCACTAACGATTTGAATAAGCTTGTAGAAAGTACAAAAAATGCTATCACTGTGCGTCACTAAATCACTAACAATTTGAATAATCTTGTAGAAAGTGCAAAAAAAATGCTTTCAGGTGCTTCATGTTCTCATTACTGGTATAACTTTCAAACCAGAGATATCAGATTATCACTCACAGAAAACTGACCACTACGAACAGCCTCATCAGAGAATGAAAGCAAGTTCAGTTGACCCACTCTTTCAACTGACAGTCTCTCTCCTCTCGTTAGCACTTGTTCTCCATGCATCATGTCACCATGGTTACACTGAAGTGCAGTATAGTAGGAGAGTGTGCTGTAGTGTAGCGAGGTAGGTTGTCTTTCCTCATTTGCCAACAAATAATAGAGCAGCTCACACAGTCAATGCGGAGCCTTTAAAATAAATGAGAGCTGGGTTAGGGATGAAATTATGAGGCAATTTGGCTTTCACCAAAAGCAGAACTGATGGCCACGGTGTCATATTTCTCACATATAATATGCAGCCCATATCTTACAGTTAGCATTTTGTTTTCTGCAGGCATAATGCAGTTGCACAACATCACAATTTTAGAAAGCAGCACTGTGGCCTAAGCTAGTTAAACATACTGCGAGAAAAATAATATTCTTGCGGTACACTGATGCATAGCAGAGGACATTTTTTACAGTACGTAGATGAGCCTCTAATCAAATCCACTACTATGAACATTTTACAAAAGAGAAAAGGGCTTTTTTAAAATATCTCTGTTATATTTGAGATGGTTACAAAGAGCACAGTGACAATGCATCTTTATAATTGTCAGAGCTGCTTTTCTCTGTATGTCCGTCTTTCTGACATCCTTCTAAACTGCTGTCAAAGTCAATGTGCCGTCTGACAAAGAGTGTAGATCTTCAACAAGGTTCAAAAATAGAAGATCATATCAAGAGAACTGTCTTTTCAGCTGGCCATTTTTAATGAAACACTCTAATGATCTTAATCCTCATTTGTGAGCGTACTAAAAATAGAGTGATCAATCAGATCGCCGGAGTGTGACATGTTGATCCTCACAGATATATATATTATATATCGGTTCCTTTTTATGCAAATAATATAACATCATCACACATTTCTTAAGAAGCACAGCCATTTAATGGGTACAACAGAAACAGATCAAAGTTTCTATGAAACAAATCAGTGCCAGAAGATTTAGTGCGTGTTCCACTTTCTCCATCAGATAAAGAAACTCAGCACAATCCAAAATACTATGAGCTTCGAGAGATAGCTCACTCAGAAATTCTAATTCCGCTATTATTAGTTCCATGCCCATTTAACATAATTTCTTCTTGGAACATGCCTGTAGATACTGCTTTTGAAAAACATCTTGGCCACATCAAAAATAATTAAAGTGATTGGGGACTGTCAAGCTTAACAAGCTGTCAACACATTACTATTATTATTATTATTATTATTTAACAATATAAAACTGCTCTTTTGTGTTTGACAGAAGAAAGACACTCATACAAGTTTTGAAAGACATAAAAGTGAGAGAATTATGGCAGAATTTTCTTTTTTTGAGTGAACAAATAATTTCATGTGCAGTTGTTTTGTAATCATAATGGATGCAACCAATTATCTGCAACCCTCCCACAGTCAGAGGACAGACAGGCACCTACAGTAATGCTGTTCAGCAGTGTCATGGGATCTCTGCAGAACACTAAAAGCTACATTCAGAGTCTGCTCTTTCCATGTTTGTTTTCTTCTTTTTTTCTGCAGAACACCCTGAATTACCACAGGGAAGCTGAACTCTGTTAAACCTTTGCTGGGAAGAGGAGAATCATGTCTGTCCTTTCAATTTACCTTCAGAGCAGCGTTCAACAGCGTTCTCTCAAGCAATTCAGAATCATGTTGGAAGACATTTTGATGATCTGCCAGTGGACCAATTAGGCTTTACCGGTGAACAAATGTTTTTAAATATGTAAGCCAATTCAGCCAAGTCAGGCGGAATGAGATTTGCTATTGAGTTATTCATGGTGCACATGGCATTAGTGTGCAGCGTGACACTAGACCGATAAGCAAAACTCTGAAAGTGTTCAGTTGTCAGCTGTATCGATTAACACACTCCAGGCATGGCACCTTTGGTTATTCGATTGGCCTATTGATCCAAGCAGCCAGGCACATACAGACACGCACACATATACCCAGGTGCTGTATGTGTACGGGTCCAGGTTTTGCCTTCAATCAAATGCAGTAAAACACGAAATCACTTATATTGTAGGAACCAGCAAATGGCTTAATAATCATACATTTGTGTGAGGGTTAGGTTTAGGATTTAGAAATATCAATAGCTCTGTAAAAAAAAGTACTCACCATGATAGAAAAACAAACATGTCATATCTGATCCAGACTATCAGCCTACCCAGCATAAAAAATGTTTTGTGGTAACGCATTTATTTGAAAAATGAACAAAAAAAGAACATTAGCTAATGGTATGACATAATATGAGCAGCATATTTTTTGTCAGAAAGTTAGAAATTTAATAACGGTTTAAAATGATGAGAAAATGTGTTTATTTTCTCCACCAACCCTTAGTTGAGATAAAAAAAAAAAAGCTTATTTCTGCTTCAGAGTAAAAAAAAAAAACCTCATTGTTATATAATTGCAACTTAATTTCTTGTAATTGCGACTACATGCTACCATTTACAAGGTTGGGGTCTGAATGTTTAATGATTTAGAAAGACGTCTGCTTACCAAAGCTGCAGTTATTTGAGTAAAAACAGTAATATTGCAAAATACAACTTAATTTAATTTTTAATACAATTTAAAAATAACTATTTTCTATTTTAATATACGTATGTTAAAGTATAATTTATTCCTGTGATCCCAAAGCAAAATTTTCAGAATCTATTCCAGTCTTCAGTCAGTCATAAAATATGCTAATATGCTTAAATGGTGCTCAAAAGACATCTTTTTACTATTGAAAACAGCTGTACTGCTTAATATTTTTATGGAAACTGACACATTTTTCCAGGATTCTTTGATGAATGGTAAGTTTAAAATATTTAATTTATTTGAAATTATTGTTAGATTTAACAAAACCGATTTAAAGCATCCTGAATAAAAGTATTAATTTCATTAAAAAAAAAAAGTCTTACTGACCCCAGCATTTTGAACGGTAGTGTATATCTAACAATTGTGACTTTGTTTCTTATTTTAAACTTTATCTCACAATAACCCCTTTTATTGTTTACTCTGAAGTGGAAACTGGCATCTATAGAAATCCCTGGGTTTAGATCAATACACTGCTTCTGGCTTTCTGCTTGGTAAGCCTAGCATCACGACTCCACAGGGAAGTGAGCCAAAAGCAGATCTTCATGTGTAGTGTGCAGGATTGGAATGTGGACTTTCAAGAACTGAGGGGATATACACACACAATAATACTACAGTAACACAGGACAACACAAAACACAAACACCATCTCTCCACTGTCTCATTCTATGTGTGTGTGTTGAGGGAAGGGCTGTGACATAGGACATTAGGGGCAGTAGACAGTACCTCTCCATCAGTGCGGTGGCCTCTTGCTCTCTTTTCCTCCTCTTTCTCTCTGCAATTCCACGGAAAGCCCTGCTGGGACCGGTCACAATGTTACAGGCTGTGGGTGTAGGTGTATGTGCAAATGGGAGCAGTGCAAGAGGAAAAATCTAGGGTGGCAAGGAAGGTTCAAACCACAACAGGTGATCACCACCCACAGGTCAACGGGACACTACAGGCATGTACACACACTAAACACTACGACCACAGCGAAGTCAAGTGTAACAGACACTCAGTCACCAACCAGCACAGAGGATAAATTCACAGGAAAATGTAACATCTTTGTGGGAGTGGTTATCATATCTGCTGTGCATCGATTGTTATTCATAGTGTGACAGAAGGTTCAGCCATCATTACAGCTGATGTTAAATCAAACCCCTGTCCTCAGTAGATGAGGTTAATGACAGCCCAGAAGCTACGTTCTAACAGTGTTTGTGTGCACGTAATTGCATGTGGATGTGTCTATGTGACTGCATCCTGAAATCCTTCAGAGCCTTGACAGATTGGCGACAGTCTTGGAACACTGCGCGCAAATCTTGAGATGAGTGACTTTTCTAGGGTATACTCAGGCTAAATTTATATATTACGTGTGCAATATTCAACACAGTGATGGCAGCAATCACCATATTCCTCCTTAACAGGGCCAGTTCACCATTTTGTCATATTTTTAAATATACCTTGCATTATAGTCAAAACACAAGCTCTGTTCCAAAAATCTAGTCAACTGTCTACCTAGTTCTTATTTTAGGAAATCGTAGGCAGACTCCCAACACAAAGGCTATTCCTAAAGGTAGGTAGGTACATTCCTATGCTCTCTTACCCCTTGTTTTTAAAATACAGTTTAAGGCAGCATTGTGAATGGAGATTTTGACTATAGTTTATTCAATATCAAAACTTGACAATTATATTTATCTAATTAAAAATGTATTTTACTTTATTTTTATTTGTGTGCTCCAGGTGATTTAGACACTACAGTAGCATTTTTGTAGCTTATCAGCATGCATGAAAATGTTTTGTGTTATGGTCCTTTCGTGTGGTTTTTAGTGTGTGTGTGTGTGTGTGTGTGTGCATTAGTTTCTTTAAAGACATTTACAATAAACGAGAAAGGTGTAGTATGCTAGTATGGTATTTTGAATTCAATCTTAGTTAGGTTCACCTGTACTTGAGCAAAAGCATCAACATACTGCAGTTTGATTCCTGTCCTTTTAATTTTACTATTAAAAAAATTTAGTAGTAGTCTCTTGTGAGCTTTGAGTGCTATTTATGTGGCATTACCACATAAATGGTAATTGGATTGAGGATGTCAGCAATGAACAGCAAGGCATTTCACTAGATTTTGAAAAGGAGCTTTAGTAACTAATTTGTGGTTAAAATCCAGAAAACTTCAAAGGTCATCCCACCATAGTAGTACCACAAACAGGCAGTTGAAATGTGATTAGCGATACTGAACTGAGTGACTCACAACTGGTATTTTGAGCAGTATGTGTGCTGTGTGAGACATAGTTCCTTCATAACTTCAAACACTCTGTCTAATGCTGGTGGAGTGAGAGTTAACACAGGTCAGGAGAGGCAGCCGCACAGTGGAGCAGAGGGTGGGGATGGAGAGAAGCGTTGACTTTTTAAAACAGTGGGCTAATGAGAAAGAAATACTCACGATATTCTTTGGAGTCAAGGAAAAAAATGCATAATAAAAAAGATAAAAAAAAAGGAAAGAGAGAGCAGGTGCTTTAACCATCACAAGAAAACACATGAAAAGCAAGTAAAAAGGTAAGGTACACAGGAAATAGAGAGCGTTTTTCAAATATAAACACTGGATCAGGTCTTATAAAAGGATAGATCACCAAGTGCTTTATCACTACCTATTACAGTCAATTATCACAAAAAGTGGCAGTTCTACAGCCAACCATGGGAGAAAACACTGACATTTCACACAAATTGAAAGGATTCTGAAGTGAAAGTGTCAGTTAGAAAAAGCAAAAAGGCAAATGAATAAGTCAGAAGAGAAAGTAGCTGCAGAGGTAGCAAAGTATTCACAAACAGAGAGGCATAAAGTGGGAGGGGAAAGGCAAGGAGGACTGACACCAGATGATGAGGTAGGAGGGCATAGTGAGGTTGAGGGGGAGACAACAAGCATGTCGGCTGGAGGGAGGTGGACTGCACCCCAGTGGGGGGGCTCAGCCAGTGGGCTCTGTGATTAAGACTTCTGCCCGACAGGTGATAATTAAGCATTCAGGCTGAGCGAGAGCATCTGAGCACAGAGAATAATGGAGACTAAATTCACTCGACTGAAAAGGTGAAGAACAAGAGAAAGAAAAAGAAAGAGGAAAAAGAAAAAAAGGAAGACAGGAAATAGAATGGAAAAGAAAGAATGGAAAAAGAAAGAACAAAGAAGGCACAGAGAAGCAGGAGGGGAAACAGGAATGGAAAGAACAGGAAAAAGGAAAAGAGGATGGAAAACAGGAAGGGGATAAGAAGAAAGAGGAAGGGGAAAAGGAAGAGACAAAAGAAGAGAAAGGGCGAGTAGAAGGGGAAAATAGAATGATGAAGGCAAAGAGAAAGAGAAAAAGAAATGGAAAGAAAAGGAGGAAGAGATAGAGGAAATGGAATAAAAAGGGAAAAAGAAAGCGGAAAAGGATGAAAACAAAGAAAGCAAATAGAAGGAGGAAGGGAAACAGAAACGGAAAGAGAAGGATGAAAAGACAAAAGATCAGAAATTGAAATAAAAAGAAAGGAAGAAACAAAAGCCAGAGACAGAGAAATATGAAGAAGGGAAAAAGAGAATCAGGAAAAGGCGGCGGCAAAAAAGAAAAAGGAATGGAAACATGGATGAAAGAAAGAAAGAAAGAAAGAATACCTCCTGTCCTCCCACATACATGAGTCAGGATAGTTAAATTACACATTTGTTTCATAGACCAACCCTACTCAAGAGGAAGCAGAAGGAGAGGATTGATGCAATTAATTCCCATGTTTACTCACGCTTGCATGGTGGTGGTTGCAGTCTGGAAGCTGAACATGTTCTCTTTAGGGAACCAGCTGTTCGTGTGATCCTCTGCAAACAAAAAAAGTTAGCATAAGCAAAGGTAGCAGGTACAGTGTAAATCTCACAATGAATAAACCAATACACCATCATTCAGTGATGGTGATGTTCTTCTTACCTCGATCCTCAGAGGACACATGGTCCTCACTGTACATCCTCTCCAGCTTCTTGTGCTGTTTGCCACCACCATGAGGTGACGTCTCAAGGTCTAGAGAGCGCTGGCTCTGGCAGTGTGGCCGAATGCAGTCCACACAATCCGGCATGCAATCCTCCCTTGACCTGCTCCGTCTCGAGCCCCAGTCCCTGATGTTATGGGCGCTCCCTGAGCTCTGCAAAGGTTGTGTCAGAGGCGGATGACTGTAGTGATGCTGGTGGGTAGGGCCATTGTTTCCACATTCGTGGCTTTCTCGATGATGGCTGCCACGTAAATTGGAGGGAGCGTTGGTTCTGGGTGGGTCTGTGGTCCTCTTCAGCACTTCTAGCTCCAGGCTCTCCTTGCTTCCCTGGCTCCCAAGCATATCTCGCTCCCTAGTAATGGTGTAGACGCGTGCTGGCTTTAAAGAGCTCTCTCCACGCCTTTGATGATGCTGGTCCTCAGAAGAAAGGCTGCGTTCTATGGAGAGACGTCGCTTGGAACTGGTAGGAAGGGGCGCAGACTGGCTGCCTGGCTGAACCTCTTCTTGACTGGGCTTGACTATAAGAGTGTGTTGGGAGTATGGCTGGAGGCTGTTATTGTTGTTCAGTCGGCTGATGTCTGGGGAGTCTGTGTCTTGACCAATGAAGGTGTCAGATAGCAAATGATCTGGAGTGAGAGACAGAAAGAGACCGAGATCAACAGATTTTTTCATGTTGTCTTGGCAAAGCAGCAGGTGCCAATGAAGCTCTCCGGTAATGATCAATTAAAGGATGGCTGGGTGATGGACACACAGAAGTGGAATTAATGTTGAAACAAAAGGATGATGCTTTCCTACATCAAGTACTAATACACTCAAGCACTTCACAAATTGTAGAACAGGCAAATAGGAGGAGACAAAAGACTTGTGAACAAATGAAGGTAGGGCATGAGGTGGAATGGTCCTAACCTGATCCGTTGCGGTTCTCAGGGTGCGTGTGAGAAAGGTACTCTCCAAATGCTCGAGCTGCTCTGCAGAGAGACAAACAAGAGACCAAATCAAGAACGGAGACAGAACTCCCTATCTTGATGTACTTTCCCATGCTGCTGCTGTCAGTTCTCAGTAGTCATTCATATAATCCAGTTAAGTCTAACGTCATGCATCACAATTTCCGGGTCAAAACACTCTTTCAATCTCAAAATCAAACAACAAATGGTGCTATTATAAAGTCATAGTGTGATGTAATACTATCGAAAATTCATGATCCTAACATTTATCTACTGAAATCTCAGCTGGCCAGACAGTGATTCATATTTTCTGAATCATTAAAATACTGATGCCAGGGAAGTGTAGTGTACACCGTGAGTTTTTAAAAGCTTAACTTAAAGGTATGGCATAAAAGAACAGTGCTCATAAATGGCTGCTGAGATAGTATTTCTCACTTGAAATGGCATAGAAGCTTGGACCTGGAAACAGTATTCGATTAATCTTGTCTTAACAAGCAGATCAAGTAGATTGTTTTTCATGATAATACTGCAAACAGCTTCCATATTTCATATCCATATCGGTGGAACTCTGTTCTAAAGTGCTACATAGAGCCATTTACAGACCACTAACTTCATAAAGCAATTTTAGATATTGGCCACTAATGTGATTGAGTGATTTATGGTTTTGCATTTAAATCTAATGCCCGTTTTATAATTCGACTCTGACAATATTCTTCACCGGAAGTCTGTGTGACATGTGCAGTCAAGACCAAATACAGTTTTTTCCTCTTCATAAAGCATAAGACTACAGGTCTAATTCAGTCTATTTCCCATATCCAAAAACCTCACAAGTGAAAATTAGAAACATTAGCAGATAATGTCACAAGATGTGGCTCTAATTTAAACTGGTCTACCACACCTGCAGATGCTTTCAGAAAAATTCAGAAATACTCCACATTCCATTACTTCTCTGAGCAATGAGGTGTAAAGCACTGAATGAAATCTAGATGCCTACAGCTGGCTTCCAGTATGAGGTCACTTAGCTGCTCTGGTACAAGAACATGGCCCCTTTATGACTTGCTATATAAAGAGAGGGAGAGACAGCTCAGAAGTCAGGATGCATAGTCAGCAAGATGAGAAGACTTATTTTTCTTGTAAAGAAGGATAAAGGAAACAGCTTTATGAGTAGAACCATGTGTTCTTCTCAGTAATAAAATACAGCTTTCAAAGAACTATACTTCATTGCCTTACCTTCCTGTAATTTAACCAACAGGATGACCTTTATGCAATGTTTTCAATGTGTGTGAGTGGTTATGCCACTAAAAATGGCTTCCAAAATTTAGATTTTTTTTTAAAAAAGGATGCATGTGCACTCCCGATGGCCCTTACAATCAGCATAGATGATTTATACAAATCATTAATGCATTCGAAGAGCTGTCAGATTCCATTATCAAATGCATCACTCCAACTCTTAACCATGGGAAAGATTTACACAGTTTTCTCCTCCTGTGTGGCACAGCGTGAACACAACTAATGCAGCCTAATTACTCGCATACGCTGGGGGTGTAAACCAACTACCATGTACAAATGAAAAATAGCACCAAACCTGTTTCACTCTCCTTGTCTTTAATTTAATTCCCAGCTAATGATGCCTTCCCATACAAGCTCACTAAATATGTAGATTCTAACATGCATAAATACACTGAAGCCCACCCCCATCCCTGCATTTTGAGAAATGTGGAAGCTACACAAATGCACCTAGATGAATGCGGTTAACTGACAAGCACCTCCACAAGCCATAATCAGTATGCGCTACTGGCAAATTGTGCAGTCTCTGCACCTCTCAAGGGATGCTGGGAAATGGGATGGTTCTGTTGTTGGAGAAGCCATGCTTTCCTGCAACAACACTTGAATAATTAAATATTAGCCAGCATGTGCATCCCTCTCTCTCCTTACTCAACAAACTCTTCTAACAGATGGGATGAGTGGTGCAGAGTGGAATCATCCAATCACTTTCTCATCACTCTTCTCACTGTCTCACTCCACAATGCCTGGAGCAGATACAAGCTAAGTGTTTTAAAGTGTGATGGGCCGAGAGGGTGGGGTGGACTAGAACTAAAACAGAGCACCGGACCTATGCAGACTCATCAAAACCAAAAGCGTTTGTGTTATGATTTTACTGTCTTGGTTAACTTGAAATGTACTCTGCAGTGCTCTTAAAATAACATGTTCGGCTTCTAGTCAGTGAGGAGATGTGTGTTCAGGCAGATAGCAGGAGAAATGGGATTGGACGTCTGGCGGCAGAGAAGGAAGTACAACGCAGAAGGCTGCTGAGAAAAAAGTTCCCTGCTAGGACACAAATCATTTTCAATGAGATTGCCGGGCAGAACTCAGAGAGGGAGCAATCCCATAAAACTGTTGTGAATGTGAAATAGATAAGTGGAGTGGGTATCTGAGGGCAGTACTTCAGGATTCAAAGCTTAAATGGGCTGGCCTAGTTGAAATTTTTCTCCACATAAATCTTTGTATATTTATATCTCATAAACTTTTTGTTTTGAAAGCCAGTGTTTTGAAAACTTAGGACCCACCTTAAAATCAGGTCTTCATCAACTATCAATTAATAGTTTAACTAACTACACACAAACAACATTCATTTGAAATATGTATATGACTGCTTACTACTATATGGTTCATCATAAAACAAATTGCACATAATGTAATTATATCACTTGAAAAACTTTTAATAAATAATGATAATACTATTAATAACAAACGAATAATTGAACATAATTACATTGTACATTGCAATTACATATAGTAGAAGCGCAAATGTGTGATGTATTAGCTAAGTTATCAGACTAATCAGGTATTGTTATTCTATGCTAGTACGTAAGCTTACTTAGACATTAAATGGTCATTATAACATAGTTCAAACTACATATATCATAACATGATTTTGTAGAGATTGTAATCAGGCAGTAAAGAGAGCACCTATTAAAAGTTCTCTGAGCCAATGGGACCACTTTTGGTCCTAATGGAGACCCAATTTCTCACTACACTGTACAAGTCAACTGGTCCACCAAAAAAAGTCAGAGTCTATGGTCAGACAAACTGTGAGAACATAGCCTAAGCCTGTAATAGACAAGGACTGATTACGGTCGTGCAGGGCCGCATTGGTCAATAGTCAAACTGCATTGCAGTTGTGAGAATGAGCACACTGTGTGGGCAATACAAACAAAAGAGATGCCTCACAATTAATAATCAACATCAAATTTGCAATAAGGTGTTTTAAAGGCAATAATGGTACTAAAGATGAGTCAGGAAAAGATAACATTCCTAATTTCTTCACTTATTTAGTTATAGCAATAGTTATTGGAACACATTCAAGCGCTAGTCATTTATTTATATGACTTTTATATTGGCGGCAGTGGCTTGTTTCCAAGTGTCAGGCCACCGTGGGCCTCTCAGCTGGAGGTACTTGACAGTCCGAGGCCCCCAGCACTGACCCCATTGGCTTGTTTTGATGCTAGTTCAAATTTAAAAAATGCTTCTACAAAAAAAGTTTCATCTGCAGATATGGCCTTGTTTAGGGATCCGTGCCTTTGCGCACACGGACATCTGACTGCTAAGTAGGGATTGTGTTTTTCAGCAATAGCGTGCACCCTTAATTTACAGAGAAAAGAAGGTCCGGGAAAAATCTGTAGATGGAAAAATCTCCATACAAGTTATTTGTGAATTTTTCTTTTTAATACTTGTTACTTTGCACTTTTTGTTAGAAAATGTTTATTTACTATTTATTTAAGTTTTTTAAGGTATCTAATATTTTGATACTTAATTTCCATGATCTAAATATTCTTAAGAATGAAAAGTTTGTTGTCATTTGAAAGTGTGTTGGTTTTCTTGCAATATTATGCTGTTACATTATGATTATTATATATTCAGTGGCATAAAATGGTCTTAAAATGAGTTTATCGCAATTATTTCTGGGGCAATATATCGCACAACAAAAAGTTGTTATCGTGACAGGCCTAGCGATACCGCATCCCACAGCTTCACAGCTGAACCGCTGTACCTCAAAACTACCTGTGCTTGTCCACTCTGTAATTAATTTGTGCCTCTTTGAAACCCAATTGTTCTGCAATAATATCTTCTGCCTAAGAGCGGGGCACAACCAATTATCTAGGATAGTTTACTGTTCTTTTTTTAAACTATAAATTGCAGACACCGATTAAAAACAACAAAGCTACTCAGTTGGAGAAAATTAAGATATGGATAATAAATATTGAGAAGCACTGCAGGGTATGAGCGAGAACTGGCCCCACGACTGAGCCTGGTTTCTCCCAAGGTTTTTTCTCCATTTCTGTCACCGATGGAGTTTTGGTTCCTTGCCACTGTCGTCTTTGGCTTGCTTAGTTGGGGACACTTGACTGATTGCACAGACACTATTGAAAGAGAGCTGAACTGGATGATGACATCACTGAATCATCAATGAACTTTTGAAACCCAATTGTTCTGCAATAATACCTTCTGCCTAAGAGCGGGGCACAACCAATTATCTAGGATAGTTTACTGTTCTTTTTTAAACTATAAATTGCAGACACCGATTAAAAACAACAAAGCTACTCAGTTGGAGAAAATTAAGATATGGATAATACCGCATCCCACAGCTTCACAGCTGAACCGCTGTACCTCAAAACTACCTGTGCTTGTCCACTCTGTAATTAATTTGTGCCTCTTTGAAACCCAATTGTTCTGCAATAATATCTTCTGCCTAAGAGCGGGGCACAACCAATTATCTAGGATAGTTTACTGTTCTTTTTTTAAACTATAAATTGCAGACACCGATTAAAAACAACAAAGCTACTCAGTTGGAGAAAATTAAGATATGGATAATAAATATTGAGAAGCACTGCAGGGTATGAGCGAGAACTGGCCCCCCGACTGAGCCTGGTTTCTCCCAAGGTTTTTTCTCCATTTCTGTCACCGATGGAGTTTTGGTTCCTTGCCACTGTCGTCTTTGGCTTGCTTAGTTGGGGACACTTGACTGATTGCACAGACACTATTGAAAGAGAGCTGAACTGGATGATGACATCACTGAATCATCAATGAACTGACTTTAGCTGGAAAAATTACTCTTTATTATTGTCCTCTTGCATTATTGACAAACTATTTTCCTGTTTGACATTGTAAAGCTGCTCTGACACAGTCAGTATTGTATAAAGCGCTATACAAATAAAAGTGACTTGACTTGACTGACTAGACTATGAGATGCCGCAATCACTCACAATCATATTTCCCCTCTCTCACACACACACAGACTAGCCTTCGTCTCATGTCAGTTTGTCTGAGGGTGATCTGGGATCATCTCTCATGGTTTCAGCAATGTGACAAAAATGGGGGAAGGGAGAAAGCAAGGGAACTCAGAGAGAAGTGTTTTAACCATATTAACTAAAGCACATGCTTTAACCAAGACTGCTGGACGAAAGCCCTGTGGCGATCCAGAAGAAGAGGCGGATGACTAGTGACTCAGATGAACAACATGAAGATACAAGCAGATGTAAAAACAATAACTGCCCCAACGTGGACACAAATACACACTGGCATACAGATCGAAGGCAGGAGGCTATTAAAGTGCACAAAGGCAGCATGGATAAAGCAGAGTGGAGATAGCACACCCTGGAGCTGTTCTTGCACTGCTATTTTCATGTGTCTGTTCACGCACAATCAGAGTCAGGAATGAGTGCTTTTGCCCTGGGTGACACTGACTTCAGCAGGCCACTTTGGTGTGCTACACTAATTTAGTAAAAAGCAAGTGCAATTTGTTCTTGAGTGCCTCAGCGTGCATTAACCAGAACATCCAAGTGTGACATGACCCCTTTCTCTCACCTCCTCGTTTGCTCGCTTACGAACTTTGTATTCTCTTTGCTGATTTGATTTCTTAGTGTACCGTTCAAACCATCATCTCACACTGCCCTCACTGCCATGTAAGAGTTTTTGTCATTGACAACTAGAATTTATGTAAACTGTTGTGTGAGCTAAACACTGAGTCATATTCATTTTGAAAATGCTCAACATCTGCCATTGGCATTCAGCTTTTAATATCTCCACATTAGAAATTCATTAACACTTAATGAGCAGGTCTCTAAATTAGTCGCACTAGCAAGCATTGCAGCTTCAAATGGCAATGACCAAAATGTCCCAGCTGATCCATTCCAATTTTTTTTAACTCAAACCTCCCCCTGCAGTACAGAAAGGCCATTTATTGGAACTAAGCTGCAAAAAGGACTTGTCCAGAAAGCTTCTGTGGGCAACTTGGCTTGCTCATTAGTAAAATAAGAGAAGGGAGGATTTTATTATTCAGAGGAGGAAGATATTGCGCATTATTTCAGAATCCAGATGCTATAACTAACAAGCAAGATGTGGGGGAAGTTTGCCAAACTTTGTGCTGCTTTGGCCGTGGGGTATCCTCAACATCAGTGTACAGCCTTCCAAAAAACCTCACCATTAGTAAAGAGTGACTAAAGTTTATTTTAATAAGATCCCTAATCATATCAGTCTGACCACTTTGTTTGGTGAACCTGTCAATGTCATGCAGACTTTCTAAAGAGGCAGACCAACTACATCAGTCCCAACAGAAAATCTTCAGTCTGGCATTTTAACTCATTTCACAAATTAATACGTCATTCAATAACATATTTAAAAATGAGACTCCGTAACAAACAAAATGGCAAACACTAAATTAAAGTTGAGTGACAAAACACTAAATTATAAGATGATGCCATAAAACCTTGACTAAAATTACTTAAGGAAATAAAAATATATGATAAATATTGTAAGAGTATAATATTTATTGGTTTTCCAACTCATTAAAACATTTGCAAAAAGACAGAAAAACACCATATGTACCAGCCTGACCCTAAGCATTGTCACACACATATTAAACATTAAAGAAGTTTTCATATAATCTGGGCCTCCCTCCAGTACGACTGCAGCCAGGTGGTCTCAAGATTAAATTAGACATTTACATGTCAGCCTGTGAGACAACTGGAAGGCTTGTAGATCTATAACCACTCACTGCGTAGCTCTAATTGGCATCGGGCTGTCATTTTAGCGTGGTTCCCACTTTCTGTCTATGTCTTAGGATGCAGAAAAAATTTAAACCTTTACACTCTAAAGCTGGAAATGTAAAGAACACCTAACAAGTAATACTGTTGTCAAGTATGCCATACTCTGACAAGACGTAGTGCAGTTCATTTTATATATCTAAACAGTCTGTAAATGCATCCTACACAACAATGACCCATCTGAGAAAGCTTTAACAATTAAGTTACAGCAGCAGAGACAGGGAGGACACTCACTGGAAATGATCACGCTTTCCTGCTGTCCAGATGCTTCTCTGTTCAATGCATACAGCACATGCAGAAGTGCTGTTCGGATAAGTCTGAAATGGTCAAGCACCACCCAGCTAAACATTAATTATTGAGGGAGGATGAATACAGCATGTGATCACACTGTGACTGTAATGCGGAGGGAGTCTCAAGGGCCGGTCAGAAGTTTGGTGACAGCTGATTTAGGGAAACAGCATTGATTTCATGGTGAATTCAGTTGGTTGTTAATGGTCATTTACAGTGTGTGGGTAAATGAACTGATTGACTGAACAGGGAAGCTTCTCAAAGGCACACAATGATGCTGGTTGGGTCCAATCACTTCACAAAACCCCAGAGGACATCTATAATACTAGCCAAGTGACATCGTGATTCTGTCATGGAACATCAGCCTTATGCATATTTGCATTGCTTGATAAGCAAACAAAAACCAAAATGACAATAAAAAACTGTATTTAATTACTTGAACTATAATTAATAAAAACATAAATAACAACATACAAAACAATAACGATCAAGAAATAATACATATTTTTGTTTAAAGCCTAATCACCAGGCTACGTGAATGTATGAATTCTGAAAACAGCCTTATAATTATTATCATCATCATCATCATTATCATAACTATCAATATTATCAACGTTAAAACAACAGTCCTCATCATCATCGTTATAACAATAATAATAATACAAAAGCAACGACAACAAAAACGTAAAATAAATATGGTCACTGATGTCACCAGCAAAACAGTAAATACATTTCCGATTGTTGCATTCTGAGCAAACTAGTATAAATAGTGTTCTCACGACAAAACACCATAAATAATTTTCATTAAAAAGCCCTCAAAAGTAATTTAAGTCAAACTTGAATATTTTGATACGAAGTTAGGCTACTTGCAAACTAGTTATACACAAAGTGTCGTCAACAGCCCCATTGCCCCAGGAACTGTGACTGATTTATTACCGACAGATTTGTATCTGTGTTTTACAGTCGTCAACAGCAAGGAAACTTGTCATGATATGAGGTGTGATGAGATGTGACAGTTTTGTGCAGCAACACATGAGCCTCCACGAGACGCGTTGCTCGCGCGCCTGCCTGTGCTGCAGAGACTCACCGAACTTTTGCGGCAACAGAAGAAATGGCATCATTCCTTAAATTCTTCTTCTTGGACACGGCAGTTCCCATGCTGCCGTGAAACCACCAATGTGTAAAAGCAGCTCATTCCACTCGTCACATCTGGAGGAAAGAAATGCACAACGCAAACAAATCATCCGCAGAGTGTAGATGTGATCTCCTCTCTCTTCACCCTGATTCAAACTGCTGCTCAGGGTCTATCAGATGTTCCGTTTGTTCCTCGTGTTTAGGAACGCGACGTTCAGCTGAATTTCACTACGTGAAGTTTATAATGTTCTTTAGTGAGCGGAGTTTGAGCTATAGTGTAGCAATGTGAAGGGCGCGCTGCTGGTAGCCTATGCCAGAATGTGCGCTCTCTCTCGCCCTCTCTCTCTCTCCTCAGTAATTGATTCAGAATCAGATAAAATCACAGTGGAGTGGGCATTATGGAAACTACTGCCATATAAAGAAGTTGCTCAGCTTGTCCTTTGGCGTCGGCTTAAAAGTGCACAAAAGAAACGAACCACAGGTACAGTGTTTATTTATTAATGTTAATTCCTGTATAGGCACATGACATATAGGCTACCATAAAATGGCATACCTTAAAACAAACAAGAGCTATTAGTTTATGGGCTATGGAGTCAGTCACAGCATATTTCGGCTAAGAGTGAAACGCTGGGCGGCAGTCCGTTAGCAGTTCCCCACTGAACACGATTCCAGCTCGGGCACGAGAACCAGCACCGTTACGGTGGAATCAGGAAGGATAACAGAGACTGGTCAATTACACGTGAATTACTTCTATTGTTTGTCAAACGAGTTTAAATATAGGCAAAATGTATGGCATATGTATTAAACACGATATAAAATATGCTGTACTGTAAATATGATATAGGCCTAAATAAAGGACGTTATGCAAACCAATGGTTGTGTGCAGTATTTTACAAATGTTTAGAGGATTTAATCTGTAAACATCAATTAATGAAGTAAAAAAAAAGCTAATATAGTAAAAATTAATCAACATTTTGCTGGGTTACATCAACCCATTATTCTGAGTTAAATTATGTGTTCTGTACGGTGATCGAGAAGTGTCAAAACAAATCACAATTCTGAAAACAAAATAACAAATTACAAACGCAAATGCAAGTCTAAAAAAGACTTGATTGATGAAGCGGTGAGTAATCCCAAACCAGTGGCGCTGTCTCAAACTATACCTACCTCCTCCGGTTTGTCTGATTTGTCGTTGTGTTTTCTGACTTGTTAATTTGTTTTCTGAATTGTTGTTGTGCTTTCTGAATTGTTATTTTGTTTTTTAGACTTGCATTTGCGTTTGTAATTTGTTATTTTGCTTTCAGAATTGTGATTTGCTTTGCACTTCTCGGCCACCGTAGTTCTGTCCTATAATACTCAGCCCATGGATTAAAAATAACCCAAAATGTGTTGCTTTTAACCCAGTGTTTTTTAGTGTAACGATTGTAAAAATACTTGTGACAGACAGTTCCAGTTTTACTTTGAAACAATTTTCACTAGAAACTGCTAGTAAATTTCACAAGTAATTACAAAGAAACAAGCAAGTAACAGTGATTAAATGTGATTTTTTTTAAAGTAGAAATACTGAAATGTAACTTGTTATGCAGTATCAAGCACACAATGCAGGAGAAGTCAACAAACTAACAGTCTTTAATAATAAAATACAATGGGAAATCTCAGGAGAAACCATGACACGACAACTGAAACATACAAACAATACCAGACAAGGAACTGACTAAAACTGAGGGCTTAAATAGACAGGTGATTAGCAGAATCAGAACAGGTGAGAACTAATGAGTAACTATGGAAACAAATGAGTGGAGGGAAAATGGGAACAAAGGAAACTGGGTCAAATTAAACAAGGAACACAGAACTAAACCAAAACAGAAAATAACTCTGACATGAAATAGTATTTTCTAGTAAAATTACACTGAAAAATGTGCAGCTTTGAAAAAGATGTTTACAGACACAAACCAAACTGTTGTATAACCACTTTTATTTAGTCTTCAGTTAATTTCAAAAAACAAATTACAACAAAAGAATAAGTCTTTGTTGGCATCCTTTTTCTTTGTGTTGGGGTTGAAGTTCCTTTACTGTGTGTTCAGAAAAGACATCCCTCTTTAAAAGCTGCAGTCAGTAGAGCAAGTGTGGCTTATCTGCCTCACCATTACCACATTCCTTACCATTTGTGAAGAGGAAGATGAAAGCTTACTAAAAATGTTCATTCTACAACCTTAACATAAGTCAAAGAAAATGCAAAAAGCAGAAGATATCCTTGGTTGGCTTCCACAGTCCTTTTATGGGAATACTTACTTGTTAATTATAATATTTTGGGAATGGAGAAGTATTCTATTCAGGTTAAAAGCTGAGGAAACATAAATGGGATATGATGAAAAATGTTATATGCACTTCCCTTTAAGCACACTTCAAAAGCAAACAATTAATATTAGACACAAAGTATATACCATCAGAAAAGCTTCAGCTTTCATTCAGATTTTGTTGTGGCTGATCTGAATGCTGTTTTCTTCTGCATCGCACCATTCGAGCTGAGAAGGCATAAAGAAAGGGGTTCACACAACTGTTAATAAAGAAAAGAGCGCCGGTTACATTGTTGCTGACATCTGATTCCCATGGCACTGCCATTAAGACCAAGTTGTTGATCATAGAGGGGGTCCCAAATACGAAGAAGGCCACTACGATTCTGATGACCAGTTTTGTCAGCCTGTGGCTTCTGAAGGAAGCTGACTGACTTATTCGTTGATGAAGTCGATGGTAGAAGCACAACAGGCTGAAGAGAGGCACAAAAAACATCACTAGAGTCTCGACAAGTAAGACAACTAGTTTTTCTTGTTTATTCGTATAATCCTGATAACAGCGTAGAAGCCCGTTCTTATTCTTCTTCACGTTTCGGTAATAAAGAGCATAAGAACCCAAAACTCCACTTAATGTCCATATTCCAAAAATCAGCCCCTTCTGACCCTTCTGCCCGAGCTTCGCCCATCGCTGTGGATACAGCACCTGCAGGTACCTTTGCACACTTAACAAGGTGACAGAAAGCACACTACTGTAGAGGCTCCAGTACACTACATAGGAAAGTAATTTACACAGACCTTGGCCAAAAACCCAGCCGTTCAGGAGGGCATAAATCCACACAGGCAGAAATATCAGACTTAATAGATCTGAGACAGCCAGACTCAGCATCAGTTTTGGGGTGAAATTTTCATCCTTTAAATGCTGGGCGAGCATGACCAGCACCGCTATATTACCTGGTACACCCAGCGCACAGCACAATCCAAGAACAGTGCTGGATGTTACCACTGAGGTTCGGGCAAACGGAGAGCTGTTAGAAATGTTCTGATACTCCATGGTCATCTGCCAATTGGTGATGTGAATATGAAGTTTGAGGTTTGCCCAGTAATAGTTGAGGAAGTAGTTTCAGGAAGTGAACTTTGATCACAATTGTGGTCTTGTGGAAGACGTTAACATTCTGAAAATAAAAGAGCATGCAAGTGTGTGAAAAATTAGTGCTGTTAAAAGTAAATGATTTGCATACTACAAGGCTGTGGATGAATGCAGTGTTTGTTATGATTTAGGTAGCATTTCCTTCTAAAAATGTTAATGTATCGAAGTAATGTGTTTTTCTAAGCTGAGCTACCATATGCATGAGCTTTGTTTACATGATTGTTATGGTTGATGCTGTAGCCTGACTGACTTTACACACAGTAGAGCGCATTTCCCATGGTAAGCAGCTACAGAAGTATGTGTTTGCACCCCCACACTCTCTGGAAATATAATTTCAACCAGAAAAGCCAAGAAACTGAAGATGTACAGTATATCAGGTCAGTATCGGCCATTACTAGTGATGAGTTATTGGATTAATTTTGCCATCACATAACAGTTTATTTTAGCTGAGTTTATACTGTACATTATACGGCCTTTAATTATAATCTTTAAATAGTTTATACTATTATTATTTACAATTTTGATTTTTTTTTTAGAAAAATCTCAGAAAAAAGATCTATATATCTTTTTTATAAAAATATAAAATAATATTATATACAATTATCTATCTATCTATGATTTTGATTTTTTGTATTATAGTTTTTTTTTATATTGGCTACTGAAATTGTCTACAGAAAACATTCTGTGAGTGTATACAAAAATGTATAAACAAAATAAAGTATACGCTTGAACATTTTATGCGTATCATTAGCATTATGTTGACAGTATTATAATCATGCAGTATGTAGTTCCCCTTAAGTAGGGCTTGTGCATTTCACCCATTTATGCTATGTAGTACTGCTTGTGTGTTTTGTATTAAGATTTTATAAAACACGTTTCTTCTTATTTTAAGAAACCTAGATTTTCAGACATAGGTCAGCTCATCAGACTGACAATTTCCATACATATATCTGAATAAACTGTCTATAAAAGCAAAGGCAATGTTAATAAGTGCTCATGTTTTTTCATGTTTTTACACAGCAATGACCTTCAATCTAATGTCAGCCTTATTCTTAAATGGCACACATAAATCTGGCTCTGTGGACAACCTCTAAATGGGTTCTGCTCTGAGGTCAGGACAATGCTAAGATATATTTATGCAGAATCGTCTTCCCTGTAGTATTTCCTGCATTGCGCAAAAGTGTTGTCAACATCATGCTAATAAATCCATCCAGAAGGCTGATGCTGTGATCTGATACTTATGGGAAGCTGTTCAGGAAACAATACATATGTATTGTGTGAATATAGATTGATTCACTAGTTGAATGTTTTGTTTAATGACAAACACATTGGTTTTTAATACATTGGTATAACCCAGTGGTTCCCACACTGGGGGGTGCTGCAAGGCTGAGGGATAGTGTACAGTCAGCAGATCATTTAGCCAAAGAAACCTCTGCTGGATGTTAAAGACTACACTGCGTAATTTTCCCGCTTCTCATTGCCTGATAAGTAAATAATTGAACGCAAACTATTAATTTGACATATTTTAATGACCTCAACATGACTCGCAGTACCCGCTTGAGTGCTCCGTTATCAGTTGTAGCAGTTGTGGTTGCATCAATAACAGACCACTAAATGGCGCGATTGAAGAATCAGAGTTGTATTGCAGGGAGCCATGTAGAAATAAATGAACGATGCATGGTTCTGCTCTAAGCATGTAAGTAACAAGTTTGTGAAAATACTGCCAGTGCCAGGTACGTAAAGCAGATGATGAATATACTTAAGATTCACAAATACCAAAAAACAACGTGACACCAGACACGAGCGGCGCAATGTGACAAAAGCAAATAGAACCCAGCGATGTTCTCTGCTGTGGATGCGGCACGATGCGACACGACAAATCTATGACAGTAAACTGATGCCCCGTTCTATTTCTGACGAACTCTAGCGCTCTGACACAAAGAACAATTGGATTTGCAATGTTCACTTTGTCGCATCCAGTTGACATCAGCTGCGGTGAAAAGACAAGAAAATATGACTAAACCAATAAGTAGTTGAACAAACCAATATATACTTAAAACAACAAATGTATCCAAACCAAAATATACTTGAACAAACCAATACATACTTGAGCAAACTGATATATCTAAAACAAAGAAACCAAAAAAATACGAATATATGCTTGTGCCAACCAATGCGTCTAATCCAATGTATAGTTATACATGTCTGGTTACACCAATGTATTATAAACCAATGCGTTTGTCATTAAACTATACTTTCAACCAGTGAACCAAACCATATTCACGCAATACTTATATATTACTTCCTGAACAGCTTCCCATACTGTAGCACCCTCTAGTACACAAAGAGATGTGGCCTGTAGCACGAAGTGAGATGAACAAACTCAGAGTTGCAGAGTAAGTTTTGAGTTGACAAAACCCGATAAAGCTAACCTGGTTAAGATCAGGTTCTCTGGGCTCACAAAGCTCAATATAAACCTTCTCTCCCAACTCAGAGTTTGAACCAGAGTTTGTGATTAAAGGTGCATTCACGCCATATCGGAATTCCCGTAATTACTTGTAAAAAGCCTCCACGTCCTCGAAGAACTCGTAATTACAACTTGTGAACTGGTAGTTTTCTGAGAGCTACGACTAACGACTTGTACCACGTGACCACCGTGTTGAAAAGTTGAAATCTCGTAATTACGGGAATTCCGACTTGGCGTGAACGCACCTTAAAGGGGCCATATGACGTTGCTAAAAAAGAACATTATTTTGTGTATTTGGTGTAATGAAATATGTTTATGCGGTTTAAGGTTAAAAAACACATTATTTTCCACATACTGTACATTATTGTTTCTCTATGCCCCGCCTTTCTGAAACGCGTCGATTTTTACAAAGCTCATCGAACTGAAAAGCGAGGTGTGCTCTCATTGGCCAGCTATCCAGTGCGTTGTGATTGGCCGAATACCTCAAGCGTGTGACGGAAATGTTACCTCCTTTACCATACTATGATGCCGTGTCCCGGCGCGACGAGACAAAACCAATAAAACCCGTTATAAACAAGGCATTTGTTGCATCCAATGGGGACATAATTATTGATTATAATGACTTACTGTATACTGTCTTTTTACGTGTTGCATTGCATCGCGCCTCGTAAACATAAAACCATGTCTGCATTTGTGATCAGAGAAACGACAAACAACAAGCGCTACTCTACACTGCTCAAAACTCGTGTTTGACTCGTCAGTGGCAAATCCTTTAAATATGATTGAATATGAAAATATTAAATATTACAGGCTGTGAGTCAGCATTATTTGTCAGCATCATAGACTGTATGCACGCACGCCGAAGGGGAAAAAGGGGAGCTGAATTCACCGGAACACCGGCATTGTAGGCTACTCTCCCAGGAAACAGTCCTCGTCCTCCATAAAATGCGTTGCACACATCTGAATATTTGGTTTGAACTGTTCTGGAA